CACTCGCTCCTCCTCCTCGCCACCTTCGTGCTCATCTGCGGGTTCCTCCTCCTCCTCCCCCCCCTCGTCTCCGTCGCCCCGGTCATCTGCGTCCTCGGCCGTGGCGCCGACCAACTGCAGAGCCCATCCGACATGTTTTCGCAGCGACTGGTTCAGGTGGTGGCACATCGCCCTGATCCGCTTGGCGTACTCCTCCGAGAATGCGTTGATCTCGCTCTTCTTGAGCTTCAACCGCTTTGGACCATCAGGTTGGCCATCGGCTAGGGCCAACGTCGCCAGCTGCGCCGTCAGCATGGACTGCTTGAACAGCAGGGGCTTGTGCACCTCATACAACGCCTGCAGCAGCTCCTTGTGGCGCTTCAGCGCTGGCTCGTCCATCTGAGATTTCTGCATGCCTGAGCCGTACTTCGCATCGTCTGTGCTAGTGATGTGCCCCTTGAGCGCACGCAATACTCCTGCAGGATCGTCGCATCGCGTCTTGGGAGGCATCGTGCGCCGTTCAGCGCGAATAATCAAACCCCACGGAGCCCAAACTGGCTATGGCACGGATCAACACGATGACGAGGTCGGAGGCGGAGCAAGAGACTTGATCAGGAGGAGGAGTGGGGGCCAGGAAGAGGAGTGGGGCAATTTTGATGAAGCAGACCAGGAAGAGGAGGAGGAGGATGAGAGGGGAAGGCCAAGAAGAGGAGGAGGAGGAGGAAGAAGAGGAGGAGGAGGAGGAGCGGGGGAAGTTAGAAACGTTAGGAAGAGGAGTGGGGGGCGAGGACGACCAGGGAGAGAAGTGGGGGGACGGGGGTTACCAGGAAAGGGAGTGCGTGGAGGAGGCGGGTTTGCGTCAGGAGGAATGCCGACGCCACTGTCGTTGCTGCTGTGACTGTCGCTGGCGCGTCTCACCATCGTCATTGTCATCGTTGTCGTGGTCACCGTCGTGTTTCCGCTTTTCCTGAGATCATCCTTCATCCTACTGTTCCTCGAGGTCGTCGCAAATCCATCAAACGTTTGATGGATTTACGACGACCTCCTCCTTCCTGCTTCGAGCCTCCTTCCTCCCCCCCCCCCCTCGGTTGGGCGGTCGGTCCCGATGCTCGCGGATGTTGCCGCGGATGCTCATGTCGTGGGCCACGGCCGTCCTCGGATGGCGAGAACTCTGCGGCTGCTCTTCCTGCTGCTGCTCCTCTCCTAATCCTCATCCTCGTCGTGTCTTCCTCTTCCCCCTCCTCCTTCTCTCCCTCCGCCTCCCTCCCCTCCTCCTCCTCCTCCTCCTCCTCCTCCTCCTCCTCCTCCTCCTCCTCCTGCTTCTCCTCCTCCTCTTCCTTCTCCTCCTCCTCCTCCTCTTCCTCCTAGCCTTCACCTCCTGCTCCTTCTCCTCCTGCTCCTCCTCCTCCTTATGTTGCTGTTCCTCCACTCCTCCTCCTCCTCCCGAGTGTCCTGGCGGCCCCTGGTGGCGCCATCGCGCGCCGCCCGCTGAGGCGGAGGCGCAAAGCCTGTCACCCTCGAGCCAATCGGTGGCGGGTCGCGGGCGGCCGCGCGTCATCGGTCTTCCACTGCCTCTTTTTCCCCCCTCTCTTTTTTCCTCATCACTCACGCGGGTTCCGCGCGAATCATCCTCACAATTCTACGTTTAACGTCACGCTATCATAATATCATATATTTTAGCATTACCCTTAAATTAAAGGCTGGGCGTTTAATTTAATGGAGATTGCACCTCTGGGCACCCAAGACCGGCGCGGGACCCGAGACCCGGGACCGGCGCGGGACCAGGGACCCGGGATCGTCCCAGGACCCGACCGGCGCGAGACCCGGGACCGACCGGCGCGAGACCCAGGACCCGCGACCCGGGACCAGAGCGGAGACCGGGACGTGGCTGGGACGACCGCCATGGAACCCGGGACCCGGGACGGGCGAAATACCCGGGACCCGGAACCGGCGCGAGCTCCGGGACTCGGCACCGGCGTGGAACTTGGGATCTCGGACGAACGCTGACCCGGAACTCAAACCGGCGCGAAACCCGGGACCGGCGCAAGACCTCCGGCGCAGGATCTGGGACCCGGGACGAGCGCGGAACCCGGGGCCCGGGACATGGTACCGGTTCGGCACCCGGGACCCGGGACCGGCGCGGGATCCGGAACCTGCGACCCGGGAACAGCGCGGGATCCGGGACCCGAGACGAACCGGCGCGAGCTCCGGGACACACGGGGCCATCGCAGGACCCGGGGCCTGGGACGAGCGCGGACGCGGGACCCGGGACGAGCGCGGAACGGGGAACCCGGGACCGTCGGCGCCATCATCATCATTATCATCATCATCATCATCATCATCATCATCATCATCATCATCACATCATTAGAGGCCACTACAATATTTGTCCTCGTGTTCTTCCTGTAATAGTGTCTTACTCAGATTTAACTCCAACGTAGGTGACGTATCCGTCCATGCCTTGGCGAAATAGTAGGGTGTCCGTTAAGCCTTGAACTAACAGCAAAAGAATACGGGGCCGACCGGCCGAGGGAGAGCGCCCGGGAGGGCGCGCGCGCCGAGCGAGCGGGCCACGATTGTTTTTACTTGCGCCAACTCACAACAGCTGCGTCGAAGTTGTGGGTCAGAAGTGGGCCCGGGGAGATGACTAAATCAACTCAATTCGACACCTGCCCGACGTTCATTTGTCATGGAACATGTACGTATTTCGGTAATTGGAAGTCTTGGTATAGTCAACATCCGAAACTATGGTGACAAAAAGAGAAAATTTGGATACCGGCCGGCCCACTTCCTCGCGCCATGGAAAAAACACGACACCTGCACTTTGCTTGTCTGTCTTCTCCACTTTCGGCGTCTTAGAGGCCCCTTCGGGATCCCAAATCCGTCGAAACACGACTCGGGATAACAAAACTTGCCCGAAGGAGTGTTGACGGCGCGCAGACGGGGGACATCCGACAAAGAACTTTAGGATACGGAATCCAAACTTTGGAAACTGGTGGAGTTCTCATCGTGGACTTGCCAGAAACATTACCTCCGCTCATATCAGACAAGGAACTCTCCAGGGCCTGAAATCTCCTGCGCACATTCCCTAACTAGCGCCCGCACGTCCACGAGCGCGCCCTCACCCCACCCATGCGCTTGAGCGACTGGTCGGGCGTGTCCGAGCTCCAGGATCAAAGAGTCGCTCCACTTGCGAACCGCCGTGCCGTAGAAACACCCTTATCTCCCCGTCGATCGGACGTTTATTCCCCGTGTTTTTTTTGGTTTCGTGCGTGGTCCTTTCGCAGTCCCGCCGAGAAAAAGTGCACACGTCCGAGCGATAGCAAACGTCCTGGAAGAAGCTGCCCGCGCCAGCGTTTCCCTACCCGCCCTTGTCAGTCTTCTCGCTGGCCACCCGCGGCGTGGCCGAGAGTGGGTCGGACACTCCGGAGGTCCACGCTATGCATAGCCCAGGCTGGGCATCGCTCGGTTGTCCAATCCCTGTTTTTTTCGGTTTCGTGCGTAGTTTTTTCCGCTAAATGATGAAGGATGCTCCTCGATGGTCCTCGCCGAAAGATAAAAACCACACGCCCGAGCGATGCCAAACCAACACGTTGGAAACCCGTGTCCGAGATAAAACTGGGCAAAAGGCCAGCCAAAATCGAACCGTGAAATCGGATCGAATCGGAATTGAAACTCCCATCCTGAACCGGATTGAATCAGAATCGAACCGTGAAAATGATCGAATCGGAACGGAATCGGATCGAATTGGAATCGAATCGATCGAACCGTGAATCGGATTGAATCGCCAGCGTCGGATCGGAAATTCCTCTTCCTCCTCCTCCTCCTCCTCCTCCCCCTCCTCCTCCTCCTCCTCCTCCTCCCCCTCCCTGCTCCAGGAGCAGGCGCAAGGAGAGGAAGCGAAAGCAAGACGACCCCACCACCGCTGGGGGCAAGAGTGAAATCGGATCGAATCGAAGCGTGCGTCGAATCGAAGCTGCATTGGAACAGAATCGGCATCGAATGGAACCGGCTGGGCCACGATTCACAACAGAGCCATGCACACGTCGGGCCGCACCGGGTCGTCGGCACATCGGAATCGAATCGGCTCAAGCTGGCTGGAATCGGTCTCAAATCGGATCGGTCGGATCGTATGGCCCGTCCGGTCGCAAGCAACGTCTTGAACGATATCTAACATGTTTTCTCGTAGCTTTCGGCCTTCGGGGGCCCTCGCTGAGATCTGAGAACGCCAACCGACCACTCAGGATGAAAAGCTGGCCATGGGGAAAGGGTCGAGACTTCTAGGGATTTCCTGCTCGTATTTTTTCAGACAATGTGAACCGATGTGAATAGAGGGATGCGGCTAACAGAACGGAGACACTGATCTATTGATGATACAACGGAAAAACAAGTAGGCGAAGGCCTCCTTGTGATTGCCAGATGCTGGGCAAGAGCGTGCAATAAGACAAGGAACCACGACATGCCAAGCAGCAAAAGCGGAAGCAAGTGCGCAGCTTATGAACCAAACCTGCAGCTGGTACTCCAGTCTTAAACGGAGTTGCCGACAGGGATAATCAGCCAAGCCTTCTTTCTTGAGTGTTTCAGGGTATTTGCCTCCACGCTCACACGTGCAGCGGCCAAAGACAAACGAGCAGGCCGCTGTTTCGACTTTTGCCCCCTGCTGTGGGACAGGGGAGGAGCACGAAGGAGAAGAGCAACATAACTGGAGGAGGGAGGGGCAGAGCAGGGATCAACCCAAACAATATTTGTCGTCTCCGTTCTCTCTCTCTCTCTCTCTCTCTTTTTGTCTTCCATCCGAATGTGCTGCAAAACCAAGTCGGAGCGCAAACAGCCCACGAAATCGCCAAAACACCGTTTAGGTCGACCCCTGCAGCAGAATTGCAGGAGGGAGGGGCAGAGATGAACGGTAGTGGGCGGGCCAGCATCACCAGGCAGAGCATCTCCCCGAAACGAGCGCGGAGGGGCGGCGCCCCAAAACCGATGGCAGAGACGTTCGTTGCGCTTTGCGTCAGAGGTGTCTTTCACTCGAGATGTCCGCTTCCGTCTGCGGCCTGCTCATCCTGCCTCTCAAAAACGGTACCACTTCTGCTGCCTGTTTCAGTGGGCCTGCTCATTATGCCCTTCAAGAACTTCCCGGCGAGGCGGGCGTGACGCCTCGGCGAACCACCCGTGGGGCACTTCGCGGAGCCCCCGAGGATGCGGTGTAGCTGCGGGATCACGTCGCATTCGATCATGCGCATGACTTCCCGCTGCTCCCGCATGAGGACCACCAAGTCCAAATTTCGCGCGTCTCCCATGAGCCGCGACACCCCCGCGACCAGCTCCTCCGCGGTAAGCCTCCCGTCGCTGTCAGCATCCACCAGCTCGAAGACCACCAGTGCGTCCTCCACGTCCAGGTCCATGGATCGGGTGTTGCTAAAGTCCCCATGGCCCAACGCCCCAGGATTTCCCAGGAGGACCCCGCGGCCTCCAGAGAACCCCTCACGAGGCCCAGAGAGCCCCAGGGGCTGCAAAATGGTGCAAAAAGCTGAGGGCACTTTGGGCCAGGGGCACCTATAGCAACCCCCGAATGGAGGCCATCCACGTCTGCACGTCCGGCTCTTGCATGGTGGCCTGGAACTCCCGCGCGTCCAGGAGGCCGTCCCCAGACCCATCCGCGGCCTCGAACAGCCTCCGCATCTTGCGCGCGTGGGTCTTCATCATGCGCTCGTGCTGTCGAATCATGAGCTGGTCGTCCGTGGTGGCCACCTTGAATGTCTCTTGTATGAACACACCATTGATCACACCAATCCGCCGGCAACCGTCTGCCAGGGGCGAAGAAGGGTACGAGATTACTGTGTGATTTTCTCTTTCAACCCCTCATGACTCCAGAGTCGCACTAAAAATGGGGAAGCCAGAGACGGTACTTGTGTGGCGACATGTTTTTTCCCCACATGCTTAGTTCCCCCACATGCTTAGAAGGGTTGTGGTTTTCTTCCATGCCTCGTCGCACCCGCGCTCCCTCACCTCACCCCCCTCTTCCCCTTCTCACACAGCGCAGCACAGCACAGCACAGCACTGCTCAGCATAGCTCAGCACAGCTCAGCTCAGCTCAGCATAGCACAGCTCAGCAGGGCATAGCAGGCGTGGCACTTTCTCGACACCATCGGGGGTGCGCGGGGGGTGGTCCCTCAGCGCGGCCGCTATACACGACGGTGGTCCAGGGCATAGCAGGCGTGGTACTTTCTCGACACCATAGGGGGTGCGCAGGGGGTGGTCCATCACCGCGGCCGCTATACACGACGGTCGTCCAAGGCATAGCAGGCGTGGCATGTTCTCGACACCGTAGGGGGTGCGCAGGGGGTGGTTCCTCAGCGCGGCCGCTATACACGACGGTCGTCCAGGGCATAGAAGGCGTGGCACTTTCTCGGCGCCGTAGGGGGTGCGCAGGGGGTTGTCCCTCACCGCGGCCGCTATGCACGACGGTCGTCCAGGGCGGAGCAGGCGTGGCATTTTCTCGACACCACAGGGGGTGCGCAGGGGGTGATCCCTCAGCGCGGCCGCTATACACGACGGTCGTCCAGGGCATAGCAGGCGTGGCATTTGCTCGACACCATAAGGGGTGCGCAGGGGGTTGTCCCGCAACGCGGCCGCTATGCACGACTGTCGTCTGGGGCATAGCAGGCGTGGTACTTTCTCGACACAATAAGGGGGTGCGCAGGGGGTGGTCCCTCAGCGCTGCCGCTATACACGACGGTCGCCCAGGGCATAGCAAGCGTAGCATTTTCTCGACACCATAAGGGGTGCGCAGGGGGTGGTCCCTCAGCACGGCCACTATGCACGACGGTCGTCCAGGGCACAGCAGGCGTGGCACTTTCTCGACACCATAGGGAATGCGCAAGGTGTGGTCCTTCAGCGCGGCCGCTGTACACGACGGTCGTCAGTACATAGCAGGCGTGGCATTTTCTCGACACCATAGGGGATGCGCAGGGGGTGGTCCCTCACCGCGGCCGCTATACACGACGGTCGTCCAGGGCATAGCAGGCGTGGCATTTTCTCGACACCGCAGGGGGTGCGCAGGGGGTGGTCTGCGGCCGCTATGCACGACGGTCGCCCAGGGCATAGCAGGCAAGGCATTTTCTCGGCACAATAGAGGGTGCGCAGGGGGTGGTCCCTCAACACGGCCACTATGCACGACGGTCGTCCAGGGCATAGCAGGCGTGGCATTTTCTCGACGCCAGACGGGGTGCGCAGGGGGTGGTCCCTCACCGCGGCCGCCCCTCGATGGAGGATAGAAGGCTAGGAAGAGGGAGGAGGTTCAAGCAATATGGCGTTGGATGACACATAGGGGATGCGACGAGGGCTCAGAACGCAGAATGGCGCATCTATTGTACACGACAACGAACACATAAGAATTTAATTAAATATGTGGGGTTCCTCGGTGGCGTAATGGGGTTCTGGTTTTCTTCCATGCCTCGTCGCACCCGCGCTCACTCACCTCACCTCCCTCTGTCCCTTCTCACACAGCGCAACACAGCACAGCACAGCACAGCACAGCACTGCTCAGCATAGCTCAGCACAGCACAGGTCAACTCAGCACAGCACAGCTCAGCAGGGGATAGCAGGCGTGGCATTTTCTCGACACCATAGGGGGTGCGCAGGGGGTGGTCCCTCAGCGCGGCCGCTATACACGACGGCCGTCCAACGCATAGCAGGCGTGGCACTTTCTCGACACCATACGGGGGGGTGCGCAGGGGGTGGTCCTTCAGCGCGGCCGCGCGGCCGCTATACACGACGGTCGTCCAAGGCATAGCAGGCGTGGCATTTTCTCGACACCATCGGGGGTGCGCAGGGGGTGGTCCCCCAGCGCGGCCGCTACGCACGACGGTCGTCCAGGGCATAGCAGGCGTGGCACTGTCTCGACACCATAGGGGGTGTGCACGGGGTGATCCCTCAACGCGGCCGCTATACACGACTGCCGTCCAGGACATAGCATGCGTGGCACTTTCTCGACACCATACGGGGTGCGCAGGGTGTGGTCCCTCAGCGCGGCCGCTATGCACGACGGTCGTCCAGGGCGGAGCAGGCGTGGCATTTTCTCGACACCGTAGGGGGTGCGCAGGGGGTGGTCCCTCAACGCGGCCGCAATGCACGACGGTCGTCCAGTGCACAGCACGCGTGGCACTTTCTCGACACCGTAGGGGGTGCGCAGGGGGTGGTCCCTCACCGCAGCCGCTATGCACGACGGTCGTCCAGGGCATAGCAGGCGTGGCATTTTCTCGACACCATTTGGGGTAGCGCAGGGGGCGGTCCAGCGCAGCCGCTATGCACGACGGTCGCCCAGTGCATAGCAGGCGTGGCACTTTCTCGACACCATATGGGGTGCGCAGGGGGTGGTCCCTCAGCGCGGCCGCTATACACGACGGTCGTCCAGGGCATAGCAGGCGTGGCACTTTCTCGACACCATACGGGGGGGTGCGCAGGGGCTGGTCCCTCACCGCGGCCGCTATGCACGACGGTCGTCCAGGGCATAACAGGCGTGGCATTTTCTCGACATCATAGGGGGTGCGCAGGGGGTGGTCCCTCACCGCGGCCGCTATGCACGACGGTCGTCCAAGGCATAACAGGCGTGGCACTGTCTCGACACCGTAGAGGGTGCGCAGGGGGTGGTCCCTCACCGCGGCCACTATGCACGACGGTCGTCCAGGGCATAGCAAGCGTGGCGCTTTCTCGACGCCAGACGGGGTGCGCAAGGGGTGGTCCCTCACCGCGGCCGCTGGCTGGCTCGAATCTGTCCAGGATGGAGGATAGAAGGCTAGGAAGAGGGAGGAGGTTCAAGCAATATGGCGTTGGATGACACATAGGGGAACATTCGCGACGAGGGCTCAGAACGCAGAATTGCGCATCGATTATAAACTTAAGCAAACACATAAGATTTAAACTAAGTATGTGGGGTTCCTCGGTAGCGTAGTTGCGGCTCAATGGGTGTCAGTATTGTCAGTGCTGCCAGGGGTGCTCTGGAATAAATAAAAACCGTCGAATACGGTTGCAGATCCCCCACCCCGCATGACCGAAACAACGCCTCTGAAGAGCCTGTTGGGGCCTCAGATTCCGCCACCGTGCGGGAAGGGCGTGGGCTCGCTTCGCCCGGGTCTCGCTTTGCCCAGCTCGCTTCGCCCGGGCTCACTTCGCCTGGGTTCGCTTCGCCCGGCTCGCTCCGCCCGGCTCGCTTCGCCCAAGACTTGTTTCGTCCAGGCTCGCTTCGCCCGCCTCGCTTCGCCCGGGGCTTGCTTCGCCCGGCGGTGACAGACCGTGCGATGACTTCGAGGAGGGAGGAAGGGAGGAAGGAGGAGGGAGGAGGAGGAGGAGGAGGAGGAGGAGGAGGAGGAGGAGGAGGAGGAGGAGGAGGAGGAGGAGGAAGCGTTGGAAGAGGAGGGGGGAAGAGCAGGGGGACGAGGAGCAGGAGGAGGAGGAGGAGCAGGATGAGGAGAAGGAGCAGGAGGAGGAGGAGAGGAAGAGGAGGAGGAGGAGCGGGAGGAGGAGGAGGAGGAGGAGGAGGAGGAGAAGGAGGAGGAGGAGGAGGAGGAGGAAGAGGAGGAGGCGGAGGGAGGAGGAGGAGGAGGAGGAGGGGGGAGGGAAATTGATTACCTGTGCGGGGTCGCCAGCGTGACGCGCGCCGCGGTTCGATCGGCTCGGTTTTGCACCGGGTAGTGCGAACGGCTGTCGTGGAGGAGCCGCAGGAAATGGGGGGGGGAGGAAGAGGAGGAGGAGAAGAAAACACTTCTGATGATTTCTTTTTTTCGATTACTGTGCCAATCAGCTTTGTAGCTGATCTGCAGCTCGAGTTACATCAAGAAAATCATCATCATCATCTCTTAAAGCATTTGCATAGTACGAATAGTTTTTTCTGACCCAGCTCTCGTAGCAGACCGAATTCAGGCATCTAGATACTTGAGACTAGCGCTTCTGATGATGTTCGTTCGATTGCTGTCAAACAGCTATGTCGCTCATGTGCAGCTCGAGTTACATCAAGAAATGTTTCACCATTTTTTATATAAAAAACAGAGTACGACAAATGTTTCGGACCCAACTCTGGTAGCAGACCGAGTTCGGGCATCTAGATACTTCGGACTAGCGCTTCTGTAATGACCAATGATTGAAATGCACATCGGATGTGTAAAAATTCTGCGGGAGGCCAGGCTCGGATATTCCCTATTGAATTCCACTTGGGAACGATTCGAACAGGAAAGAAGCCTGCGGGAGGAAGGGATCAACGCGCTTCCAAATTTAATTCAGATGGACAAACAGGGTGTGACAGACTGAGGCATAACGAAAGTTTCCTTAGAGACGCGGGGAACCTCCAGACGACCCAGACAGGATGCCTGGGCGGCCCCATGGCCCCGATATGGTTCCACGACGGCCTCAGACGAGCACGAAGATGACCTCAGGGCGACCCCGCGGAGACCCCGTGGCTGCTGCAGGATCCAGACGCAGCGACGAAATTGCCTGGGAGCGAAGCCAAAGTGGCCCAAAATGTGAGCGATGCCCTGGAGACCAGGCGCGGTGGCCCCAGAGCGACCCCAAGGTGGCCAGAGCACTCCCGTAATACAGCACCACGATCTCGATGGCCTGGAGATGATTCCAAGATGGCCACAAGACGACCCGAACACGTCATACATTGGCGGGATTGGGACCCACCGCGGGATTAATCCGGACCCGGTTTTTCATGGGTTGGATTTATGGTTGGCCAGACTAAAACTATATACAGCAAAGCGACAGCAGGGACAGTTCAAGTGCACCTCGGAGGTCAACCTTGAGCCGAACT